CTCCTCATATTTCTCTCCTTTAAATTAGAGTTTTTTTGGAGAAGAGTTAATTTTTTGGCTATTTTTCCTTTGTTTAATTTTCAATATTTTAAGTATACTTATAATTAAAAAAAACTCTCCTTCATATCAGATTATGCTTTATTCCCAAACCGCAACTAACCTCATTAAATTTTGTTTTAAAGTTACATTTCATCATATTTTATTATATATTTAGTTATTTATTTTTTATAAAAATTATTATTATTATAATTATTGGTTTAATTTTTTTTTACATATTAACAATGTGACAGGATGAGAGTAAATTTTTAACAATCATGCAATTTAAATTAAGTTGCATAGTTATTTTCTACAAGAAAAATTAAAAAAAATTAAACTAATATATAAAAATATAATAGTAAATTAACTATTAACTTTCTTTTTCTCTCCTCTTAAGTCAAATAAAAGATTATTAAAAAATTCTTCCATCCCTTACAACACAATTAAATAAGGTAACATTAAAAAATTCTCCTTTTTTCTCCTCCCCTTCCCTCCATCACCTCTCTTACCCTTCCTCTCCCTCCCCTCAAACCAAACACATTCTAAAATAAAAAAATTTAATTTAAAAATTAAATAAAAATGGAGAGAGAAATATAAGCTCCCCTTTTAAATTAAAATTGCTGCCATCTTTTTCGCTTTACCTTAGGCGTCTTCGATCGTTTAGGAAATAATAAATATTCAATTGGAAGAAGCTTTGATCCCTTCTTTTGTACTGAAAGGAAAGTTTATTTGACGGTCATATAATAATACAGAAGCAATGATATTTAAAAAAAGGGGATTATCATTGACTTATTAATTATTTTGGTTATTAAGTATTTATGAATATTTATAATCGTTGATCATCATTTGTTGTTTCTTAAATTATTATTTTTAGGGCAGATTTCCGCGGATAAATTGACAAAATTTTGGTCCGCAATAGCATCACCATTATTTATTTAGGCGTCCATTTATTTTTGAGTATTTCATCCAACGTCACCCCAACCCTAACAGGGCATGCAACACGCCTTGTTCTCCAACTTGAAATTGAAATTTCATTTGTGTGACATCACAGCGTAGCCGGGGCTAAGTGGTTCATCACTTTTGTTGATAATATCACCCCATTATTATTACTATTAGGACGCCTACGTCGATACGGCCATTGTTTATTTTTTTAAATAATTGGCATGATGATCTATAATCAACGTTTAATTTAACTGCTTTTTTAATTAGTGTGTAAAAAAGTGGTTAGTACTTCTTAGTAGGACTAAAATCAACTTCTCTTTTTACATTTGGCAGAGGAAAAGTGATCAACGTTTAATTTAACTGCTTTTTTTAATTAGTGCGTAAAAAAGTGGTTAGTACTTCTTAGTCGGACTAAAATCAACTTCTCTTTTTACATTTGGTAGAGGAAAAGTGGGTCGGAAAAGGTTCGAATGTTAGTGGGCCCAGCCCAAATGCATCATCGGTCACGTAACATGCGGACGAGATAGCATTTGCTGGATGCTACGTTGCTCTGCGTGTAGTGTATGGATCGCCAATTGGCCATGAAGCACTGTACGAGCACGACACACGCTCTTGCTGCTTCCGTCACCGACCCCAATTTTTCCCCCTTTCTTTACGGTAAATTAGGGGCCAGAGCCAATAAACTAGACCCAAAGGAAGAAATGAGCATGTAAGTGATGTTGCTAGTCCAAGTATTATATTCTTACGCTATTTATTCAGTGCGCTTTAATCCTCTCACACACTGTTTCTTCTGCTTTCACTCGCGAGATGGACATCGACTCCTCACACACCCCCAATTGGCTCTATGATTATGGCTTTGACGTCCCTGTCGCCGGAGCTGATTTGCCGGTCGTCTCTTCTGGCGGTTTCAACTGGGTGTCTCCTACTTTTCACGGTTCTTCCGATACGAGGTGGGTTTGTAATAGCATCTTTTTGACTTCCTGTTTGGTTTCCACGAACGCCCATGTAAGTGGGATTTTCCATGGCTACTGTAAATTCAAGGTTATCCCCCGTTGGCTTGTTGGTCTAGTCTTTCTCAAAATCCAAACTACTCTCTCGCATGATCAGTTCATACATTTTGTTGTTACAAAGTATCGTACTTTTCTGCTGCTTCCTTACTTCCAACAAGATACTATTGCAATAGGTAAATGAAGTGCCATGCTCTGTTGGTTTGGTGGTTGGTAGGTCGTTGGCATTTGAAAGAAAATCCAAAACTATGAATATACTTGTGGGGTGATTTTCTGTTTAGACCTCGGTAATCATTTATCTTGTGATTTGAAACATTTCAATGGTCTAAATTGGGTCAGTCCAAAAAAAAAATGTCAAAAATGAGAGAAGTTTTAATTACTTAGTTGTTAGGTTCTATGGTCCATGCATGAAAATTGTGTTCGAACAAGATTTTCTTATTATTTTACGTTGTGATGGAAACATGTGAACTAGTTTTTCTCATCAACCTGCTGCTGCGACAATTTCTCATGGTTCTATTGGTTCCGGATTATGCAATTTTTATGGTGATTTTGGGTTCAACTGTCCAGCCAAAGTAGCATGTGTCCTATTTGTTCTATGAGAAATGGCGTGAATTTAGAAGATATCATCTTTAGACTGTGACTTTCTCCGAAAACATTTTTAATGAGAATATTTAGAAAATAGTGCACCATTTAAATTTTTAGGCACTTGTTACGCGCCCCCCCCCCCCCGGGGGGGGGGGAGATAACTATCCTAAGCCTTAGGGATAATGCTGTCCGTTGACTGCTGCAGCAACTATAGCAATATGACACGTTTTCTCCTTAAAGGACCATGCGAAGTATTTTCTGTCATACATCAGAAAAAATGGACCTGGATTCTGCAAAATTGAAGTAACATTCGTTGTACATGGAGTTTTTATTTGTGAATCGCAATGCGTTGGCAAAAAGGGCGTCATGTTTCATGAATAGTGCAGGTTGTTGAATGAAGAACATGAAAGATTTGCAAGGGGGGGTTGTAATATGTGACTTAGGAAGGGTTGGGTGTAGCAGTTGACTTTGACTATCGTATAGCAGCGTTTGTTGTTTATATTATGTTGTCCTCTTCATTGCTTCATATGTACAGCTTGGACCTGGATTACTCACTGGAGAATTCGACTTTCCTGGAAAGTGGCCCTTCAAAGCGGTAATGTCTTTCGTTTTTGGCTTTGTAAACAGGGTTTACTGTAGTGCTGTACCTTCACAATTTCTCAACTACACAGTACACTATAATGTGTTCAATTTTTTACTATTTAAAATGAATATCCTATTGCTTGCAAGCTCCAACTAGATCTTTATTTGATTAGATTTTTTGCATCCCTTAATATTGAAGAATGCATGGTTTATATGGAGGTGTGTCTTTAAGTGAAAAACCTTTTCATAAAGTGAATTTAAAAACGCACGCCTTTAATTACTAACGCCACCCAACTGGGATTAGACATAGGAAATGAAGACCATAAAGGAGCTGCTTTTCACAGAAGCAGAGCAGAGGATCAGAGAGACTATTAAGGATAACAAGAATCCCAATAAGATTATGCTCTGCTAGTGTACATCTCGAATCAGTGGCATTCCTGCTAGTTTTAATAGTTTACATGGAATCAAGAATTAGGAAGAAAAAAAAAAAGCGTGGGAGGGGTCTAAATGTTACTGATTTGTAAATTGTAACTCTTCAAGTATATGGAGATGATGGTGCAAATTATGCAAAAACTTGGTCACCTAATGTCAGGAAGGATGGAGTATATTTCTCTGTTGTTATTCTTTGTCTTCTGTCAGCTAATGAACCTAACCTGTAAATTTCGCCTCATTTGGATCCACGTGATATCTGGATACTGTTAGCAACACGTTGTCACATTGGCCTGCACATTTCTCAAGTAAATGCAGCATGTTTTTCCCCCCTTTCAGTTGATACATTATTTGTGGAATGAGCAGGTGCTTTAACTTGAGACATTTTATTAATGCGTCCTCTTGTCATTCTTCTGTCTATCTCTTGCTTCCGTTCTCTCTCCCTTTCTTTCTCCCTCTCAAACAAACACAAAATATTTTCTTATCCACTTGCTACTGTTATTTCAGGTTGAAGTCTGAATCATGTGCATCTGGCTCCAAGGCATGCCGTGAGAAACTTAGGAGGGATAGACTGAATGAGAGGCATGCTATTGTTCTGCATCTTGTCTGATTAAATTTTGTCTTCTAAATCTCATGTCTTGAATTTGGCATGATTTGAAGGTTCCTGGAATTGAGTTCTATCTTGGAGCCTGGTAAGCTGCCCAAGATGGATAAGACTGCTATATTAAGTGATGCAGTTCGAATGTTAACAGAATTACGAACTGAAGCCCAGAAGCTGAAGGAAACAAACGATGAATTGCTTGAAAAAATCAAGGAACTGAAGGTGAAAATATCAAAATTTCTTGGCGTAAATATTTGGAAATATGGGGATCCTTTCTGTTTGGGTGAATTAAATCTCTATTTCGTTTCAGGCAGAGAAGAACGAGCTTCGTGATGAAAAGAACAGGCTGAAGATGGATAAAGAAAAGCTGGAGCAACGGGTCAAAGGGATGAATGCACAGCCAACCTATCTTTCTCATCCTTCTGCTGCATTTAGTGCTCAAGGACAAACTGCCAGCCACAAGCTGATACCATTTGTTGGTTATCCTGGAATCGGCATGTGGCAGTTTTTGCCACCTGCTGCGGTTGATACATCTCGGGATCATCTGCTTCGCCCTCCTGTCGCTTAAAGTGGTTTGTTAGTTTCCATCACATTTGTGTCTGTGCACTTCACTATATCATGTCTGTGTCCAAGTTGTCAACTATGTCCAAGTGCGTTTCCTAAAGTTAGACGATGATATTGGTGGAAAGTCTACTGTGGAAACTGATTACATCCACGCTTGTCCGATCTAAACTATATAATAAGGGAGTGTTTTATGTCTTGGCTGTCATGCTTGAATGCTTCCTTGATTTTCCTGGTAGAATAAGCCAAATGGCGGATGCATTATAAGGCTATAACATCAAATTGAATCACTGACGAGATATCATTTTCTGTCAATTAATAAAGCGTGCACACCTCTCTGAAATTTTAACCACAGAAATAATGAAAGAAACAGAAAAGCTCACACACAAGTAGCTCAGTGGCAGTGGTAGACTTAGATCTATCCTATCTTTAGGAGGCTAAAAGCACCAATAGAAAGCTAGACACAATTGTAATGAAGGCCTGGAAGTTTCCTTTCTTTGCTGATGCAGTTGATGGGTCCAGTGACTTCTCAGTAGAAGGAATGACTGGGGAGAATGCAGGACTCTCTAGATGCGTGTCAAACAGCGGACTGGGTGCTGCCAGAACATATTCTGGAGATTCAGCTGCTGAATTGGTAAAATCTGGGGACTCGGCAGAGGGAGCAACAGGAATCATTGGGGAAGCCGCAGGTGAGGGAGATTCTGTTGGAGAGGTGGAAGAAGTTGCACCAGCAAGAGTGTCTATTTCAATCTTCATACCTTGGCCACAATGTCCTAATGTTGCACAGATGAAGTATCTCTTGCCTGGAGAAGTGAGAGGGATGGTTGTGTCGCCATCATTGTAGGACTGGATTGGGTTGGTTGTCTGACAGGAGTCATAGTCTGCCTTTGTAACTTCAACCACGTCATGGTTAGGTGGATACTGAAAAACTGCACACATATATGGGTAACAGTGTAAATACAAAACAAATTAAGATCTGTTTAATCAAAAGAAATTGTCTAAGAAATTTATAAAACCACTCCTGGTGGCGGAAGCATGCAGATGACTTACTGAGTTTATCTCCCACTGAGAAGTTTTGGGATGATGCCCACTCTTGAAAGTTTGTATTTGTATCCCACCCGCCATTAGGTCCTCCAACAATGTGATTTGCTGCCATGGTGATTTCGATGATCATAGCTGCCACCAATGATACTCTGATTAAGGTTTCAAGGGCAGCCATAGTTGCTAACTGCTTGGATATGAGAAATGATTGGAAAGTGTAATGTTATGAGAAATGATTGGAAAGTGTAATGTTAAGAGATGTGATTGAATTGCGACCTCGTCCTCACGGTGGTAGAGTATATATAGAGCGAGGTCAAGGGGCATCGTGCAGGGCCTTTAGAGGAATGATGATGGACGCTTGTGATTCAAATTCAATCATGGAGACATTGGAGTTGGTATGGTCATGCAAATGATACATTTTTTTAATAGGAATGCACTTGAATATTTTCCCCTGTCCGTCTTGAAACTCCTACAGGATTCCCTATCCCTTCCATTTTGCCTGTTTATCTAGGAAGGAGAAGGTGGCAGGGCTGTTGGTTGATTCAGATAGACAGTTTTTTTTTTTTAAATGAAAATTAAGTAGTTGGGTCGACGACAACTCAGGTTTTACCTTCTCATACATCTATATTTTGAGAATTGTTATTTTTTATTTGGGTCAACATGTGCTGTGAATTATTTAGATCATCAGTTCCACTACCAGAACTAAGCGGCCTCGACCACTGGCATTTTATAGTTAAAAAAAAGGGCACTGGATTTTCAACAAATGTGTGAACAATCAAAATCTGCCAGCACAAGCTAGGAAAAATTCTTCATGACAGGGAGGAATCCACGTGACAGATTACTAAGGTGGGAGACCTATTCCGAGGCTCTACCGAACCGAGTGTCACACCTAATCCATGTGAGACTAATATTATTTTGTATGTACACATATATACTTGGTGAATATAAATGAAAATAATAATCAAAGGTCATATTTCATAATTAGCTAGCACATATATACCTGGTGAATATTATTTTGGTTGGACCCGAGGTCTAGCAACAGTACTGAAGGTGGTGAAAGCGTAATTTGAAGAGGTTGAGTTACTTCAAGATGGCGAATGAAGCCCCGGATTGAAGAGCCTGACGATAATTTCGTTCGGCTTCGGTTTGTGGGACTCTTCTTTAATGTAGCCCAAACCTATAGTCTGCTGAATTGACAAATGCCTTGTGTGGCCCATTCTTGGATTTCGGCCCAGCTAGAGGAAACTGCCCATCAATCACTGCAAGAGGGACCCAGGTCCTATTAACATATGAATGATTATTAATTAATGATACGCAAAACTTTCTGTTCAAGTTAAAAATTTGTCACAAAATCCGTCACCTCTATAATTGAGATTATGGGAGATGCTATTAGCAGACCAGATTAGAAATTTCACCTTTTTTGAAAACTTTAAATATTTAGCCTATAACTTCGATCCTTCTTATATGTATTTATTTTTTACGATCCGAATAAAAATAGCAACAATTACGGGTTAATTTTGTAAGGATTAACAGGGATAAAATTCAAAAACCAAGGATACAATTGAACAGAAATAAGCAAGTACACAAGCCGAACTAAATACAAAATAGGAAACAGTCTAATTGAATCAACCTAGGAGGTAAAGAAAATCAACCAGGGATGAAAAGATTTGGATAAGGTCGTGCGTCAGCAAAAGCAAAATAGGAAAGAATGTAAATTAGAAATTTTCATTTATAATAAATAAAACTTAACAAATATACTTTCCAAATGAGGGTAAAAACGGTACGTGGCAGGCATGATGTGATTATGAGTTTCACGTATATAATATAAACATGCAGAAACCAAGCCTTCTCATCATCAGAAGCCAGAACTCATTACATAATTCATAAACCAGTTTATTTGAACACGTGAAGAGGAGGAAGAGGAGGAAGAGGAAGAAGAAGAAGAAGAGCTGCATTACCGGGAAAAGCTTGCACCCTCAGAAGGTGGATGATCAACTTGAAGAAGAGGAAGAAATGGTGAGGCGTGCAGGTAGCATTGCCACTAACTGGAGAGAACTTAGCGGTGAACATCATTGGAAGGATTTGCTCGACCCACTTGACATTGATCTTCGCAAGTACATAATACACTATGGAGAAATGGCTCAAGCTACTTATGATGCTTTTGTCTCTGACAAAACATCTAAATATGCAAGAAGGAGCCGTTATGGGAAAGGAGATTTCTTTTCCAAGGTGGGTTTGGAAAACGGGAATCCTTTCAAATACGAGGTAACGAAGTTCCTATATGCAACCTTAGAAATTGATATTCCTATGTTTGGTGATGTTGAAGAATCAAATTGGATAGGCTATGTTGCTGTGGCCACTGATGAAGGCAGAGCCGTGTTAGGGAGGAGGGACATTGTAATTGCTTGGAGAGGAACCGATCAAACCAAGGAATGGATTAAGGATTTTCAGTTTTCTCTGGGTGACGCTCCATATATTTTTGGTCATGAAGTTAATTGTAAAGTACACCAGGGTTTTTATTCCATTTATACAGCAAAAAACTCATCAGTCTTCAACAAAAATAGCGTCAGAACCCAGGTAAGAAAGATATATTTTAATTTATATGAACCTTTTTGGAAGGTGGTTGACAAATAGTTTCCAAGCATGATAAATTTGTTCTCTTTCAAGATTCTATATTTTAAATAGAGCTTGACTTTATTAATTTAAATTAAACTTTTGGGTTTTTAATCACTGTGCAGGTATTAACTGAGATTAGAAGACTCGTGAACAAATTTAAGGACGAAGAGATTAGCATAACAATAACTGGTCATAGTTTAGGCGCAGCACTTGCAACAGTAAATGCATTGGATATAGTGGCTAATCGCTTTAACATTCAAGGAGACGATGAATCTCAAAAAGCGTGTCTAGTCACAGCATTTGTATTTGCCAGTCCTCGAGTTGGAGATTCAAAATTTTGCAAGTTTTTCACTGCTCAAAAAGATCTTCGAACTCTGCGTATTCGGAATAAAGAAGATATTGTTCCAAGGCTGCCTCTCTTGCATTATGCAGAAGTGGGAGAAGAGTTAGAAATCGACATCATGAAATCCAACTTCTTGAAGCATCCGAGGGGCGTCAACTTCAAACTGTGGCATAATTTGGAGGCTTACTTGCATGGAGTAGCAGGAACACAAGGGAGGAAAGGAGGATTCAAATTAGAGGTCAAAAGGGATATTGCACTGGTTAACAAGAGCTTGGATGCTCTGAAGGACGAGTATCACATTCCCAAGTCTTGGAGAATAGACGAAAACAAAGGATTGGTACAACAGCCTGATGGTACTTGGAAGATGCAGCAACCTGATTCGGAGGATGATGATTTTTTATCAACTCTGTTGTAGATAAAGGACGTCACTGCTAGAATAGCATGTTTAATTTGGGTGTATATAAGGTCTCGGTCTGTAATTAAGGTTGATTAACTTTTGTTGATATTTTGATGAAAATGTTATTTTTGCGTGTCAATTACTTGTCAATGCCTAATTAATCAGTCCATTATCAGTCTTTTATTTTAATAATGGTGAGACAAGTTTCTCCTATGGGAGTAATCTTAATTAGTGTTAATGAATTAGAAGTAATTTTCTAATCTCCACAAAATCCGGAGCCCCTTCAAAATAACAAAGTGACATCGTCGTACCACTCAAGCTCATCAAAACACAGGTTTGCCTAAACAAAACTTCTTTTTTACCTGTCAACATATCAAGTACACACACACACACACAGAGTAGACACGTTTTAGCGTGGGTCTCTTCTCAGAGAAAGGTTTGAAAAGGAGAGCCAGGACTGCAACAGAAAAGTGGCGGGAATGTTTAAGGAAGACATGCTGAATTAAAGAATATGATAGATGAGTTTGATTTGGTTTTTGTTTCTTTCCCTTTTTATTTAGCAGATGTGGAACGGGATATGGCAGAATGTATTTATACTTTATAGTGAAAAATAATAAAATGTGACCTTGTCTTTGAGGAAAAGTCAAAAAGGTTGACAGCTTCTTTTGACTATTCCTGGCAATGATGAGCAATGACCAGTGCTCAGTCAAGCCAGTAAAGCCAGAAATGTCAAAACCGGGCTGCTTCTCGCTGTTATTTCATTAAACGGATTTAATCAAAATCAGCGCTTCGTCCACCTCTCGACTAGCTTTTTGTATGTGATATTGTGATGTGAATATGGCACAATTATGACACAATTCGATTCAATTCAATTCGATGATAATTCTTTGCTCCATTTTGCAAGTAAGTTTGAAGCTTCCTGTATTATATATTGCGTGTAAAATTAATTTTAATTTACTTAGATGACGTCATCAGCCCAACAATAAAACATTATGGCAATTGACATTATATTGCCACTCCGGAGCATGATGATTCAAGAGGAGTTATCTCTAGGTTTGTCAAAAATGGGGAAAAAAAATGAAAATGTAGTTGGTTAATATTAATAATTTATTTCAAAGAAATAATAATCAACAGTGAACCAATAAAAACCTATGAAACATGAACTTGTTGGCCCAAGGAATATTTAAGAAGTGAGAACATAGCTAGGCGTTTAATGATTTCATAATAAAACACATATAAGGAAATATGATATCACATCTTAATCCAAAAGTTTGAGGTATTAGATTTATATATATATATATATATATATCTTTTTCACTTATATACTTCTTTTCAAGTTCAATTTTATTTAATATAGGACTCCTCTTCATATCAAATTAAGTTCACTCACACTTCATAATTCAACAAAAATAATGATAAACAAAATGCAAAACTAGCAACAATAGATTAATCCCAACAATCTCCGCAAAGCCCTATCATCATCATTGGATCTCATGCATAGCGTTTCCTCCAACCCATTCCATTTTTTCTGCCGTTATACTTATAATTCAAATATGCCGATGTAGTTAAGATTAGTGGATAAGAAAATAATTGATTGTTAAATATTGGAGAAAATTTTTAGTAATTTAATATTTCATCTGATATAATTATAAAGTATTCAAGTTCGATATCCACGTAAAGATTTTGAGATTTTTTCTAAATTAAGTGTAAAATCGCCCCATATTTGTTGACTAATTAGTAATTAACGACATTGGTTCTATATGAACTTAAAGTGATTGCAACTCTTCATTTCCATCTTGCGTGCGCCTTCTGTATTATAGGATAGGAATTGCTAAACTATGACTCCAGAGAGCTTCTAGAAAAGGCACTTATATATGCTAACTGTTGGAAGCTTGATAGCCAGCCAGAAATTTTGAATTTTATTTTA